GTCATGTTGTCCCAATCACTCGAAGCAAGTTCAAGGCTAGTGTCTTGGATGGATCTGAACACTTCGCCTCCTTGGAGATGGAAAAGAAAAGCAGATCTCATATGACGTTCGCAACCGCAATCTCTGAGGGCAACACCCCATTCTCAATGTTTGACGAACTTTCTCAAACAGCCTCAAACCATGGTGGATTTGAGGATTTTGGTGGATTCTTCAGTTTCAACGAAAGTCAATGCCTTGATGACTGCCGCAACTAATGTGGACGAAAAGTTTGCCACGATGGAACAAACTATAGAGGTCTTGAAGAAATCTGTTGAAGACAAAGACCTTCAAATCGCTCAACTTATGAACAAATTGGAGGCCTATGCACCTGGAGAGTCGAGCCATGTCCCTCCTTATTCACCTGTCTTCACCTCCCAGAAAACAGCTGTTGAGGAATCATTTGCAAAGTTAAACATTCAAAAGGAAAAGCAATCTACTTCAGTTGCGATGTTATCTGTCCAATAATTGCAAGACATGATAACAAATACCATCAAAGCTCAATATGGCGGACCATCGCAAAGTTCGTTGTACTACTCTAAGCCTTATACTAAGAGGATTGATTGTTTAACCATGCCTACCAATTATCAACCACCAAAGTTGCATCAATTTGATAGCAAAGGGAACCCAAGGCAACATATTGCCCACTTTGTCGAGACTTGTAGCAATGTTGGAACGCATGGTGACCTTTTGGTAAAACAATTTATTCGTTCTCTGAAAGGGAACGCATTTGACTGGTATATTTACTTGGAGCCCGAGTCCATTGATAGCTGGGAGCAACTTGAGAAGGAATTCCTCAATCGTTTTTACAGTACCCGAAGAACTGTAAGCATGATAGAGTTGACAGGCACCAAGCAAAGGAAGGATGAGCCCGTGGTGGATTACATTAATCGTTGGAGGGTGTTAAGTTTGGACTACAAAAATTGCCTTTCAGAAATATCTGCTGTGGAAATGTGCATTCATGGAATGCACTGGGGCCTTTTGTACATTCTACAAGGGATCAAACCGCAAACTTTTGAAGAACTCGCAACACGAGCGCACGACATGGAGTTAAGCATCGCAAGTCATGGAAAAGCATCTTCATTTGCATATCAAGAGGAGTTCAAGAAAAATGTTGCATAGAAGAACCAAACCAAAGAATCAATGGCGGTGAAAGCAACTTCTGTGAAGGTCACTGCTAAGCAAAAAGTGAAGGAGGATAATACCCCGAGTCAATATCCCAAAGAGGAGAAGCGTCGTCCCACCTTGAAGGAATTAGAGGTGAAGGTTTATCCATTTCCAGATTCAGACGTACCCACAACCCTCGATGAACTGCTGGACAAGAAAGTCATTAATCTCCCTGAATCAAAAAGGCTAGAGGAAATTGGCAAAGTTGGCGATCCGAAATACTGCAAGTTTTATCGCGTCATTAACCATCCTACAGAGAAATGCTTCGTCTTGAAGGAGAAAATCATGTCTCTTGTAAGTGAAGGAAAAATTATCATAGACATGAATGAAACAGCCGAAACAAATCATGCAAGTAACTCGTTCAAGGAAAGAAGTGTTCAAAGTTGCATAACATGTCAAGCACTGCCTTCTTACAATTTGGAAGTTTCGAGCCCGTTGAAGTTGATCTTCCAAGGAAAACTCTTGAAGGTTCACTAGAGCTAGACAATCGCTCCAAAGACAAAAACGATGAGGGCTAGATTTTAGTCACTCACAAGAAGCGAAAACATCAGGCAGTTTTGAGGCTACGAATTCCTAATTCAAGAGCGATGATGAGCAATGCAGATAGGCTACAATCACCAAGGAATATCAAATCTTCTATTAACAAGAAGATTAACAGCGCCTTATCGCCGAAGTTCCGAAAGCCCATCACATTGTATGAATTCTTTCCTGGAAAATTCCTTTTTGGAGGTCACGTTGGTGCAACTCATGTAGTTTCTAGTACTGACGAAACAACGAAAAGAAGAGATGAGCCTGCTCCAATGTAAACACAATAACTTCATGATAACAGAAAAGTTGTCACATGTTGTGCAACAATGTCATTCACAGATAATGACTTGTTGCTGGGGTCTAAGCCACATAACAGACCTTTGTTTCTTGTAGGGTCCATTCGGGAACAACATCTCAATCACATACTTGTTGATGATGGTTCGGCTGTCAACATCATGCCAAAGATGGTGCTAAAAAAACTTTGGATCTCTATCGATGAGCTATCCAAAAGTAACCTAACAATCCAACGTTTCAACCAAGGGGGACAACGATCCATAGGTATGATCCGCGTAGGATTATCCATTGGTGAGATGAATTCAAACACCCTGATTCACGTCATAGATGCTAAAACATCATACAACTTGTTGTTTGGACGTCCTTGGATTCATAAGAATGGAGTGATATCATCTACTTTGCAGCAATGTTTGAAGTACAGAAGAGATGGTGAGATAGTAAAAATTGATGCAGACATCAAGCCTTTCACTGAGACGAAGTCATACTTTGTAGACGCAAAATTCTACTTAGATTTTTGTGAACCGAAAGTAGAGAAACCATCAGCAGATGACGAAGATGATGTCAATTCAGAAGAGGAAAATAAGGCTCAATGGACTACCATCAAGCTGCCTAAGAAGGGAATGGAAGAAGTCTCCATTAAGCTATCATCATCTGAAGGTGACATACAGACAAAGACTGAGGAGCATCTGGTTTTTCGCTATGTTCCACGTGAGCGTCGAAAGAAATGGCAACCTTTGCTACAAGAATGTACTCCAAAAAGCAAATGAGTCACAAAGATATCCAACATTTGTAGGAGCATATGACTGTCCCAGTTGCACAAATCCCATCTGTGACTTGTGAGTCTGCTAAAGGCAATCTCCATGTCAATAAAATAAAAAGGGCACTACGTTGCCACTCCAAAGTTTGGGTTAGGGTTCAGTTTGGCAGAGCCTCTTCGAATTTCATCAAAGAGAAGCAAAGAGATATCTTCATTACAATACACCTCGTAGAGGAGATGAAGGAAGTTAAGGGAAAGAAAAAAAACAACGGGCTTCAGTATTTGATCGCATTGGAGGCTCAACCTCTCCGGTCTCAGTGTTTGAAATGCTAAGTCACAAAGGTGAACGTGTATCTTCCATCTAAAAGAAGTTTCCACTACCTTAAAGACCTCTATCTTTTGTCGCCTAGGGACCACAATGAAGTCGCCATCTAGAAAGATACTGTCAAAACATAAGGAGCAAGTCCATGAGGAGCGGGATCATTTTGAAGTTGTTGCTGACAAAGAAATTTATTGTACTTTCCCATCACGTATGAAGAGGAAGTCTATTTTGTCAATATTCACAGATGGTCCACTGAAGGTGCAAAGAAGAACCATTGTTTACACTTGCCAGCCTTGTAAAGAATCAAAGAAAGAGAAAGAAGCCATGCCAACCATCCAAGGAAGTCAAAGAGAAAAGTCAGACTTTGTGGAAACATCCTATCACATAACTGTAGAAGATAGCCCATGCCTTAACATTGATGATGAAATACATGAGGCTCCCCCTCAACTAGAAGATGGTGGGCAATCAACTGTGGATGAGCTTAAGGAACTCAATTTAGGTACTTCAAAAGATCCATGACTCACCTTCATTAGTGCACTTCTCACGCCTCAAGAGGAGGAGGAATACTCCAAGTTGTTGACCGGGTACAAAGATGTCTTCGCTTGGTCGTATAAAGAAATTCCTGGTCTTAGTCCTAAGGTAGTTGTCCATCATTTAGGGATCAAAAGTGGAGCACGCCCTGTGAAGCAGTCATAACGCATGTTTCGACCCGAGCTTGTATCACAAATTGAAGTCGAAGTCAACAAGCTCATCGAGGTAGGATTTATTCGAGAGGTAAAGTACCCATTATGGATATCGAATATTGTACCTGTCAAGAAGAAGAATGGTCAAATACGTGTTTGTGTTGACTTTCGAGACCTAAACAAGGCATGTCCAAAAGATGACTTCCTGCTACAAATTATTGAACTCATGGTCTATGCTACAACAGGGCATAAAGCTATGTCATTCATGGATGGGTCCTCCGGATACAATCAAATCAGAATGTCTCCAAAAGATGAAGAGTGTACTGCTTTCCGAACTCCAAAAGGGATATATTGCTACATAGTGATGCCCGTCGGCCTGAAGAATATCGGTGCCACCTACCAACGCACGATGCAAAACATCTTTGACGACATGCTTCATAAGAGGGTTGAATGTTACGTCGATGACTTGGTGGTGAAGACGAAGAGTAGGCGTTACCACCTTGAAGACCTTCGAATTGTTTTTGAAAGGTTAAGAAAATTCGACCTGAAGATAAATCTACTCAAGTGTGCATTTGGAGTTACCTCAAGAAAGTTTCTGGGCTTCATTGTGCGTCATCGTGGAATTGAAGTTGATCCTGCAAAGATTGACGCCATTCAGAAAATGCCCAAGCCAAAGAACTTGAGAGAGCTTCGAAGTCTCCAAGGAAACTTAGCATTCATCCGGAGGTTCATCTCTAATCTAGCCGGACGGTGTCAACCCTTCAATCATCTATTGAGAAAGGATATCCCTTTTCATTGATATCAGCCATGTCAAAATACTTTTGAAAGCATAAAAAAATACTTGTTGAATCCACCTGCGTTAGGGGCACCAATGTTTGGGAAGCCGTTGATACTCTACATCGCGGCACATGAACGTTCACTTGTAGCACTACTTGCTCAAGAGAATGAGGAATGAAAGGAACAAGCCTTGTACTACCTTAGCCGAACTCTGATAGGAGATGAGAGGAACTATATGCTTATTGAGAAAATATGCTTAGCGTTACTTTATGCGATAAAGAATCTAAGACATTATTTTGAAGCATACATCATCAAACTCATCTCTCGAGCAGATCCCATGAAGTTCGTGATGACTCGACCTGTTCTTTCTGGACACCTAGTAAGATGGTCCATATTGTTTAACCAACATGAGATCACATACATACCTCAAAAAGCTATGAAAGGACAAGCACTAGCCAATTTTCTGGCTGATCACCCTCTTCTGGCGGAATGGGAGCTTTCAGATGAGTTTCCAGATAAAGACGTTTTGTTCATCGAAGAGTTTCCACCATGGACAATGTTTTTTGATGGACCTACATGTCGTAACGGTGCGGGGGCAAGTGTGGTGTTGATCTCTCCAGAAAGACAAGTCTTGCCATTCTCCTTTGTTTTAGGTGAAACATGCTCCAACAATGCCGCAGAGTACCAAGCTTTGATCGTCGGTCTCAAAATGGCATTAGAAATAAAGATTCTACAGTTGGAGATCTACGGTGACTCTAAGCTGATCATCAACCAACTTTTGGGGAGTTACAAGGTAAAGAAGGAAGATCTATTGCCATACCATGAATACGCTTCTGGTTTACTTGAAAAATTCGACCAAGTGTTCTTAAACCACGTCCCAAGAGAAGAAAATTGCAAGGCTGATGCTTTGGCTAACTTGGCCACAACGATGGCACTTGGAGAGAATGAGTCAACAAAGGTATATGTGTGTCGTCGATGGGTTATTCCTAGACTTCTGGATCTTCAAATCAACGAAATCCATCATACGTCTGTTCAAGTGATTGAAGACGAAGATTGGAGGCAACCACTGATAGAGTACCTTGAACATGGAAAGTTACCTGAAGATCCACGACAAAGAATAGACATCAAACGAAGAGCACCACAATTCATCTTCTATAAGGGGACATTGTTTCGCCGCTCTTTTGAAGGACTATTCTTGCGATGTCTTGACAAAGAAGAAGTCTGCCAAGCGATGGAGGAAGCACATTCTGGCTCATGTGGAGCACACCAATCTGGTCCCAAGCTCCATTTTTGCATCAAAAGTATGGGCTACTACTGGGTGACAATGGTGAAGGATTGCATGGATCATACCAAAAGATGTCAAGCATGTCAATTTTATGCCAACTACATCCACCAACCTCTAGAGCCTCTTCACCCAACTGTAGCTTCATGGCCTTTTGATGCATGGGGACTTGATGTTGTTGGACCACTTCCAAAGTCATCAAAGGGACAGATGTACATATTGGCTGCTATAGACTACTTCTCTAAATGGGCTGAAGCTGTTCCACTCAAGGAGGTGAAAAAGGAAACCGTTGTCGATTTTATCAAGTCATATATAATTTTTAGGTACAACATACCAAGATACATAATCACTGATAATGAAAAGCCATTTGACAACAAGCTTGTGAAGAGTCTATGCGAGAAGTTCAGTTTCAAACAACATAAGTCTTCAATTTATAATGCACCTACCAATGGCCTTGCTGAAGCTTTTAACAAGACGCTTGGTAACCTTTTGAAGAAAGTTGTTGCAAATGGCATGAGAAAATTGGTGAAGCTTTGTGGGCATACCGGACAACCTTCAGAACTGCTACACAAGCAACTCCTTACTCTTTGGGATATGGCGTGAAAGCAATCCTTCTGTTAGAGCAACAAATTCCATCATTGTGGATCGCAATCCAAGAAGGACTCATATCTGAAAAGAATGTTCAACTTCGCCTAGCAGAGTTAGAGGCATTGGATGAGAAAAGATTAGAAGCGCAACAAAAATTGGAGTGTTATCAAGCTCGACTAGCTAGAGCCTTCAACAAGAAAGTGCGGCCACGATCATTCTAAGTGGGAGACTTAGTCCTAGCTATTCGATGACCCATAATCCTCAATAAAAGCATAGGTGACAAGTTTACCTCAAAATGGGATGGGCTATATGTTGTGAAAGAAGCCTATTCAAGTGGCGCATACAAAATCATTGATAAAGATGGTCTTAGAGTTGGTCTGATCAATGAAAATTTTCTAAAGCAGTACTTCCCATGAAAGTCACCAACGCTCCTCGACATACGAGCCTAAACTGCAAGTCATGACGCTCCTTGATGTATAAGCCTAAACTGCACGTTGCTACACTCCTGGACTGCATGAGTCTAAACTGTGTACGGCCCAAAAAATAGTCTACTAGGTTGAAAACCTTGAAAGAGGCGGCCTAGGAAGAAAAAATAAGTCAGCTAGGTTGAAAATCTCGCGAGAGGCGGCCTAGGCAAAAAATTTGGACATAAAAAAAAGAACTCACCCCTCTGAACTACGTTATGAATTGATCCTCTTTACTGAGGTATATAGGTAGCTTAGAGCTTTATTCTAAGTTCAGTCACGTGAGTTTTAAAAAAATAAAAGTTTGGCGTCATCGGATCATTACATTATTTCTTCCAAGTGTAGAGGCACATATCTATGAGGAAAAGAGACGATTTGCTTTGAAGTATAAAAGATGTTTTATTACTTCAATAGTACAAAAGTTGATACATAATATAGAGACAAAAGGAATTAGACATTTTCCTATACAAAAGCCTAAGTCATGAAAATGACCGTAAACTAGCCTTTGTGGCCGACTCGTCTTGAATGCTTCTTCCAAGTCCATATGACGTCTCCATATTTTGATACACTATCCTCAATTCCCCGTATATAATAAGTCATCTCTATTGAACAACCTTCAATCACCACGGGATCCGCCATTGATAAACTTCAAAACGGTCAACAAATCAAGTGCAACCATTGGTGAAGGGGTGACTCCGCATCTTGTATGACATCTCAGACTGATATCTGGACTCGACAAACTTCTTTGCAAGTCTGCAAAAGAAATAAATAAATAGATAAGATTTGTAAAGCACAATATCTAAAGTTACTATATTCAAGACTGTAGAGTCAATTTCAAGAAAACAACAACATTCATAGGACAACTCAGAGAGCATAGAGATGGGAAGCGAGCTCAACGAATGACGAGATCAACTTTGGAAAACTACTGTGGTCCATCCGGAAGACGTTCTACCCCAAACATTTTATATGTTTTAGATTTAGATGTCTAGTTTCCAACAACGCAATCCGTTTATGATTCGGAGGCTTCTAGCTCAAAATACGATTTTTGTTGTCGGAACTACACAAATCTAAAAGTTACTGCAGCTAGGTGGACTTTGAGAATTTTCTGTTTCCAGCTCAGAAGAAGTTCTGCCATGAAACTCATGTGTATTGCATCTCTATGAGTATACTTTCTAATGGCACAAACGGATCCCAATTTGGAGTCTCCTAACTCGAGATATAAATTTTTCCACCAAAACATGCAAAGCTGAAAATCAATTTCTCGGACAGATGGGTCAAGTTCAGAAAGTTTCTATGGACAATCTACTAGGAATTCTTCTATGATATCTTCAGAATTTCATTATCTCTGAGTCTTCTTTCCAATGGCATAGACGACTCATGATTTGGACATTCTTAGCTTGAGATATATATGTTTTGATGACAGCATACGGTGTTGTAAAGTCAAAATGTCAGATATGTATACCAGCTTCAAAAGTCGACTCCAACTAATCCTCGAGGAATTTATCCGTGAATTCTTTAAAGGATGTAACTTTTCAAGTTTTGATTCTTTGAAAGCAAGAAGCTTCAGATTTCATCGCTCCTACATCAAGGAATTAATAATTTTGCAAAGGTTCAACAAGCACTAGCCCGCCAAGGATGAAATATGGTCGCTCGAGCTCCAAGCCTCTTTCTTGCCAAGTCGCAAGGCTGAGATGCACCATGTTCTTGCTCGTATGTCGCAAAGTGGGGATATGGATCATCGATCAAGCTCGCTTAGGAATACTGTAATGTCTCTCGTCAAGCTGCAAGAAGGGATGTACCAAGTTGTTGTTGTACTCTCTTGAAAACCTACAAAAATAAGAAAATATTTTGGAGCCCTCGGTGCCAACAAGATGACGCTTTTACAGATACGGTGCGAGTAGACGATCAGCTCGATTAACGGATATCGGTGTCATAGCACGATATTTTTTCTTCTACAGACACGATGCCAGTGATACGAAGCTGTTGATCCCATATGATTGATTGGTGCCAATGACACAAAGCTTTGATTCAGCAGCAAGTACCAGAGTCAATGACACGACACTTCAACGCAGATGGTGAGCATTATGACGTGCACTTCTCCGTCAAATCTGAATGGATCATACGCTTCATGAACCTACAAAAAAAGGAGTGTTGATCATTCCCTTCTTCTCATGATGCATATTGGATAACTCGCCATGCATATCATCTCCGAGCCTGCAACAAAAACTCGCCATGGTGAGCATTGTGACGTGCACTTCTCCATCAAATCTTGATGGATCATACGCTTCATGAACCTACCAAAAAGGAGCAGTGATCATCCCCTTCTTCTCAGGATTCATATTGGAGAACTCACCATGTATATCATCTCCGAGCCTGCAACAACAAAAAGGAAAAAAGAAGTATGCTTCCCGAACAATCCTCTTGATTTCGGCACTTGATTGATCAAAGATTTGTTGCGTCTGGGTCAAAAGGGCTGAAGCTTTGACGTTTATAGATGTTGTATTTCATTGAGTCTTCTTACCAATGGTGTAAACAGCTCGTAGTTCAGATGCTCATATCTTGAGATATGAGTTTTTTTAGCAAGACCACGCAAAGCTGAAAACTCGAGCCAGCATGTCAGAACTCGTCTTCCAGATTCAGCAAATTATCTGGGAAAACCTAGGGACATACTGACTGTGATTTCTACGTATGTTGTACCTCCAGGAGTCTAATTTTTAGGGCCACAAACGGCTTGTGATTTGGACGCTCCTATCTCGAGATACAATTTTTTTTGCGCAGGATGCGCAAAGCTGTGAGATCAACAAGATAGACGTGCACGCCAACTTCAAAACTTAATTTCAGACAATACATAAAGAATTTCGCTCTTAATGTTTGATATGTTGGATTTCTTTGAGTCTAAAATCAGTAGAATCAAGCGGCTCGTGATTTGAACTCTTCGATCTCAAGATATGAATCTTTTGCCGAGAGTGCAAAGTTGTGAGCTCAACACGGGCCAGACGTGTAGATCGACTTTGAAAATTAATTCTTGCTGATGAAAAAGGATATTTGTGCTAATTTTTTGATATGTTTCAGTACTATGAGTTCAGTGTCGGTAGAAGTAAGCGGCTTATGATTTGAAGTCTCCTATTGCAAAATATGAATTCTTTTTCTTGGGGGCACAAAGCTGGCTGACTAGTACTTCAATTAAAAAGGGCATGACTGATATTCTTTCTGTTTTAGAGAAAAAACGAACAAAGAAGAGAAAGCAGACTACGAGCAGCCATGTTAAGCGTGAAAGAAACCCTATGTTCACGACTCTCATATGTCAAGGTAATGGAAACAAAGATCCCTTATAAAGATTGTTTATGATGGTGGAACTTTCCTTATGGAAAAAGAATTCTTCTTAAAGTAAAATAGGAAATTCTTAAAAGTTTTAAATGGTAAATATTCATTAGAAGGTAACTTCTGAAATGTATTTGAATTCAAGTCAAAGTGGACGAGGGGAAAGCTTCATGCATCAGTCTTACATGATTTTGTCATAAGAAATGGATCATTGGAGGAATTGTCAAAAATTGTTCAATGTAACCATGTTTTGGTTACCATAATTTTTCTATAAAGGTTCCTAATAAAGTATTGTTTAAGTACAACACACTTGGCATCAAAGTTTTTTTTTTCAATTCAATTTAGGCTTCACTGGAGAGTCACGATTGCCCAAAGAATTCAAGTCCTTTATTTATGGGCAAGAAAGAAAGTGTTCTTCCCATGGATACTTCAAGCCTCGTCTTCGACTTTCGACAAGCCTATACTTGACAAATCTTGAAGTAGGGGGCATCTGTAGACATATAAAATTTATTGGGTCTAATCTATACAAAATTTGGATTAATTCAATTAGGTTAAATAATTAATTTGGACTTTACAAGTTAAATTAGTTTATTTTATTATTTTCAAGCCCAAAGTCCATTTCATCTTAAGGCCCAGACTCGTACCATGTGTCAAGTGACATGGCATGTCCAGTCAAATCTAAAGCCAACAAGATGTTGCCACATGTTAAATGATGTTGCAGTCCAAGTCAAAAAGTAAGAACCAACTGTTGATACCTAATTTTTCTCTATATATTTTTAAAATGACATATATGTGCATATATAAGCACCCCAAAGGGTTTTGGCATTTTTAATGATTTTTAAATCAATTTATGGCCTATTTTTACATCATAAAATCCCAATAATTATTCCCCAAAAACTTGCCATTTTGGAAAATAATTTACTTTATTCTCATAATTACCTCAAATATAGTTGGCAAGATTTTGTTTTCATATTTTTACAAATTCATCAGGTATTTTAAAACTAAATTGCATGTAATTGCAATGCTAGCCTCTTTAAGGTTTAATAGCATTTTTCTTAAATATAAATTGATCCCAATATTTTAAATTAAGGTTTACATATTATTTATTAACTCAGTACCTTTAATTTGCTTTTAAAATATTTTTACTATTTTTATAAAATAATAAGGGAAAAACTGGCTATTTCAATTTTAGCCTCAATTCGTTTCAGTTTTAACCACAATTCCATCTCA